CTTTTTGCTTATGTAGTGCTGAGGAATCGAACCCAGGGCCTCGAGCATGCAAGGCAAGTGCTCTACCACTGAGCCACCTTCCCAGCCCTTCTTTTTCATTTTTTGTGTGCTGGTCATAGGGCTTGAACTCAGTGCCTGAGTAATGTCCTTGAGCTTTTTTTACTCAGTTCTAGTACTTTACCACTTGAGCCACAGGAAGTGGTGCTATGGCCACAGCTCCACTTCCAGCATTTTTGGTGGTTAATTGGAGATAAGAGTTCTACAGATTTTCCTGTCTAGCATAGTTTTTTTTTTTTTTTTGGTCTTGGGGCTTGAACTCTGGATTTGGGTGCTATCCTTGTTCCTTGTGCTCTTCAGCTCAAGGTGAGCACTCTACCGCTTGAGCCACAGCACTACTTCTGGTTTTCTAGTGGTTTATTGGAGATAAAAGAGTCTCATGGAGGGGCTGGGAAGGTGGCTCAGTGGTAGAGTGCTTGCCTTGCATGCCAGAGGCCCTGGGTTCGATTCCTCAGCACCATATAAGAAAAAAGCCAGAAGTGGTGCTGTGGCTCAAGTGGTAGAGCGCTAGCCTTGAGCTGAAGAGCTGAGGGACAGCGCCCAGGCCCAGAGTTCAGGCCCCACAACCAGACCCCCCCCCAAAAAAAAAAGAGTCTCATGGACTTTTCTGCCAGGGCTGGCTTTGAACTGCGATCCTCAGATCTCAGCCTCTTGAGTAGCTAGGATTATAGGCACGCTCTACTGGAGCCAGACTTTCTTTCCTTCCTTCCTTCCTTCCTTTCTTTCTTTCTTTCTTTCTTTCTTTCTTTCTTTCTTTCTTTCTTTCTTTCTTTCTTTCTTTCTTTCTTTCTTTCTTTCTTTCTCTCTTCTTTTTTTGCCAGTCCTGGGGTCTGGACACTGTCCCTGAGCTCTTCAGCTTAAGGCTAGCTTTCTACCACTTGAGCCACAGCACCATTTTTGGCTTTTTCTGTTTATGTGGTACTGAGGAATTGAACCCAGGGCTTTATACACATGAGGCAAGCACTCTACCACTAAGTCACATTCCCAGCCCTATTTTTCTTTTTAATTGACACAAAATCCATATTTATGTTCACAGTGTGGTAGCTGCATACAAGTCTACCATGTGTGGTGGTTCTACTTTGAATGTTTGTAACCCTCATTCTCTCTTCCATTGTAGCTACACCATTTTACATTCCCACCAGCAGGGCACAAGTGTTTCTCCACACTTACTCTCCCCCTCCCTCTCTTTCTCCCTCCCCCCCCCCCTTTCTCCATCTCTCTTTCTTTCCTCAGGCTTCAAGTCAAGGTCATAGCCTGGGTGCTGCCCCTTAGCTTTTTCAGCTCAAGGTTGGTGTTCAACCACTTAAGCCACAGCTCCACTTCCATTTTTGGTGGTTAATAAGAACTAAAGAGTCTCATGGACTTTCCTGCCCAGGCTAGCTTTGAACCATGATCCTCTGATCTCAGCCTCCTGAGGAGCTGGGATTACAGCCCTGAGCCATCAATGCTCAGATGCTGTCTACTTTTTAATCTGATCTCTCCACAATGACCAACCAAACCCAAATCATTCCAACTGTTATTTTCCTGGATGCCTGCAATAGACTCCAAGGACCTCCCAGCTTCTGCCCTGGTCCCCAAAAGTTTCCTTACCACCACTTCCCACTCAAAACCAGCAGAGGCTTCCTCCCTCCCACCCACCCAGAGTATAGGCCAAAGTCTGACAGTGGTGACCGGCTCTGTACAGTGCTCTCCACATTTCCCATATCTCTGACTCATTTCCTACTTGCTCTTCTACTCCAGTCCCATTAACATTTTTTTTTTTCTGTTCCTTGTAATCTACTGCCTCCAGGCATTCTGGTTCTCTTCACATCCTAGTTGTAGCTTGTTCTATTACTTCCTTGGGACCTTTGGTGCAATGTCCACTGTCTTCTTTATGAGGCCTGTGGGATTTTGTGTTTGCTCTCTGCTGGGAATGGTGGGTGTAGCTCAGTGGTAGAGCTCTAGGTTCAGTTCCCAGCTTCGAGATAAGAAGAGAGGAAGAAAAGGTTTGAGAATGAGAAAAGAGGAGGGGGAAGTGGGGGAGGAGGGGAGAAAGGGAGGTTGGACTAATTCTGTGACAGTTACCTGTACAGAATGACTCCTAGAGACCCTGCCACTGGGATTTGTTTCCTCCCCGGAGCTCTTGGGAGGTTTGATGGATGCAGCGTGGACTGTGGACCCAGGGTGGGAAGGCAGATTGCTGGCTATTTTTCCCTCAATCTCCCTGCTCTGTGCTGAGCACTGCTGCACTGGGGAGGGGGCCCACACTCCCCCACCCTTCAGCATCCTGTGTCCCCACCCTTGGACATCCAGCAACACCATGTCCTCTCTTTTCCCTTCATCCTCAAAGCAGCAACACCTTTCTGCCATTGCTGGGGTTTGGTGCCTTCACACCCCTTTATCTGCTTTCCAACCCTACTTTTTTTAAATTTTATTTTAAACAGTCCTGGGACTTGAACTCAGGGCCTGGCACTGTCCCTGAGCTTCTTTTGCTCAAGGCTAGCACTCTATCACTTGAGTCACAGCACCACTTGTGGCTTTTTTCCTTCTGTTTCTGTGGTACTGAGGAATTGAACCCAGGGCTTTTCATGCATGCTAGGCAAGCTCTCTACCACTAAGCCACATTCCCAGGCCCTCCAACCCTACCTTCTGTCCATCCACCTGCACTTCCGGTTCTATCTTTGGTCTACCCAGCACTGTCACGATCACACCAATTACCCATTTTTTCCTCTTCTAGCCTTTACACTCTGGGCTGGAAAATCCAAGGGTGCCAGGACTTTCTTGTGTCCGGTTTGCCACTCAATCTCCTCCAGTGCTTGGCAGGTAGCAGGCAGTCGGGAACTGTAACTCAAATCCATGGAGTGAAATGAGCGACTGATCCGCCGCCGAGGGGCAGCTCGGGGCAGGACAGCGAGGCGGTGCCGCGGCGGGCAGAGGCGCTGACTGTCAATTCCCGGCCTGGTCTCTCGGCCCCCTGCCGGGAATGCTGAGTGCCCGGGAAGATGGCGGAAATGAGCGCCCGGCACAGCTCTCCAGCCGGGTGTTTACTTAATTAGGGTCTGCATCCCGAGGCTCGTTTGTGTTTAATGGCTTTGTCTGGCTCCGGGAGGGCGTGGGGGGGGGGGGCGGGTCGCCTCCACGTTCCGCCTGGGCGTGCGCCATTGCGCCCCCCCCCCCCAGGGTACCGACAGAGCCCCCCTCCACCTCCGCAGGACCGGGAGGCGACCCACCGGCGGTCCTGATGGCGCAGCGCTCCCCGGACACCAGCTGCCAATTGCTCGCTTTTCCCTCCGCTGTGAAATTGAAGGCTTCTCATTTAGTGGAGGAAGGAGGGGTGGCTCAGGCAGGAGGGAACCCGCCGGCCAAATGAGCCAGATCCTAGAGCTGCAACACCAAGCCACATCGGACCGTGCTCTAGATGTCAGGTACTGAGTTTAGTGCTTTTCGTGTGTGAGTTCATTTTGCTCCGAATACTTGAGAGAGCAGTGGCCTCATAACTCCATTAACAGATGGAGAATGGTCCCCAGATTGGGCCCCCGGGCAGTGATAGATAACTCAGAGCCCATGATTGCCCCCACCCATGTCCCCTAGAACAGGTAGGTAAAGGCACAAACCCCCTATATCTGAGCTGGGAAGAAAGAGGGGGAAGAACAAAGCGGCAGTATCCTGGGATTCTCCAGGGAGCTCAGGTACAAGAAATGTGGCCCTGGGCTGGAAATCTCAGCTCGGTGGGGAAAAGGTGGAGTGACTGAGTCTTAGGGCAGTTTCTATGTCCTGGGCCCACTTGTGTGCCGCCAAGAAGAAACGCCCTTCACGGTTAACGCAGTGGAAGGAGGAAGGAGCCCCAGGATCTGTGGTTTACCTCGCAGGAAGGGTGTAGGGGAACTGTCATGAAGAATGTAACTTTTTATGTAGATTATATAAGGTATTCTACGTGAATAAAAGCTGCGTTTAAATTGGTCTTGTTTGCATTTTACATAACGATGATACGTTATCTCTGGTACTAGGGCTTGAACTCTTGGCCTGGCACTAGGAGGTTTTCTTTCTGCGCAAAGCTAGAGCACTCTAACCCTTGAGCCGTAGCTCCACTTGCTTTGTTTTTTTGTTTTCTGGTTCATTGAAGAGTCTCACCGACTTTTTCTGCGGGGAGGGGGGCGGGGCGGCTGGTTTCAAACCGTGATCCTCCCATCTCAGCTTCTTGACAAGCTAGGGTTCCAGGTGTGAGTCACCAATAGCCACCAATGCCTGGCGAGGAAGCGTTACACATTGGGGGAGTTGGGGTGGGGGAGAGAGGAATTTGCTAGAAACTACGGGGCTAAGGGCGACTCAGCATCCCCCTACCTCGCGCCCAGCCCCGGCCTTCTCTGCTGGCCTGGCACTGGGTCCGCTGCGAGGCGGACTCGAGGACTCTCCCGCAAGGTGATCGGCTGGTCCAGTGCGCCCCCCTCCCCCGAGACATCCCCCCTCCCGCCGGCTTTAAACCCTGGTCCTGGGGCGGGAGCGCGTGGACAGTGGGCAGACCCCGGAGTAGCGGGTGCTGGAGGGGGACACACACCCCGACTCCAGCCAAGCTCAAAGGGAATCTCTGCTTTCGGTCCGACTCAGATCCGTCTCCCTCCTTCTCCCCCCCTCCCCCGTGTCACCGCAAAGCAAAGAAATCTTTGTCTCCCGCTGAGGAATGGAGTGATTTTTTTCTGTCTCTCCTTTGAATCCCCAACCTTCGAGACCCTCCGAGTTCCAGCTGGGAACAACTCCAGCGCTGCCCCAGCGCCCGCGAACGCCCACCGGGGAAGGCGGATGGGGGCTCACCGAGGGCCCCAGGCGCGCCCGTCGCGGCCCCACCTGCCAGGGGGCGGGGCCTCGTGACGCTGGGCCAATCAGCGCCCACCTGCGCTCACCTGGCCCCCCCCCCTCCCGCGGGCGAGCGGCGCGGCTCGGAGCAGAGCGCCGCGGAGTTGGGTGGTCGTCGCCGCGCTCTCACCTCGCTCTCTCCCGCGCGCGCGCTCCCCGCAACCATGGGGCTCCTCCGAGAGCGCCTCGGGCCCCTCCTCCTCCTCCTCCTCCAGGTACCCCGGTGCCTGGCCCGCGCCCTAGCGGGGACCGCTCCCTGGAGGGCGGGCGGGGTCCGCACGCCGCCCGGGCGTCGAGGGCCCGCGCGGGGCCGGGCTCCAGGCGGGTCTGGGTAGTCCCCAGAGTTCCGGTGGGGGGGGGGTCTCCCCGAGATGGGGCACAGCGCTGACCCGGACTCCCCCCCTCTTTATTTTTAACCCTCAAGGCACAGGTTTGCTGGCCTCGGTGCGCAGCCTCCGAGCCGTGCCCGCGGAGCACCGGGGAGGCTGAAGTGACCTTGGAGGCGGCCAGCACCGAACTGGAGCCGGGCCGGGCGCTGGGGCCAGGTAAGACCGTGCCAGAGACAGCCTGGGTGGGACCGCCGCGCACGGGACCGCACGCGGCCCGCGCCAGGGGTGTCCGGGCCGGGACAGGGCACTTTCGGAGTCTCAGATCCCGGGGAGGCGCAGAAGGCGTGTAAGGGGGGGGGGGGAGGGGGAGCTGAGGGTGTGAGTGTGTGCGTGCGTGCGCGTGCATGCATGGCTGTCGGAACCGGCTGGGCAGAGAGACGCCCCCCTAACATCCAGTCCCTCTTTGCCCCCGCAGCCGACGCTTGCTTTGAGCCCTCGGTGCCGAGTAGCTGAGCCCCTCACCCAGCCCCGACGTACAAAGCCCTCCCTGGCTGGCCCCAGCCGAGGAATGCGCGATCCGCATTCCTTCCCCAGCCCCCGCGCAGGTGTGGGGATGAGCCTTGCCCCAAGCAGCCCCCTTCGCCCCTCTCGGGCCCCCTTTGTGAACCGTGCTTTGTGTCTCCGACAGACAGACCCGGTCTGTTTCTCTTCTCTTCGCTCCCCTCCCCCGCCCCCCTTCTTCCCGGGCAGCTAGCTGGAATGCACTCTTAACCCTGCCCTTCCCGGAGGGTCTGCTCCCCCACGCCTGCCTGCCTCCTGCCTACAAAGGACCTGGCACACCTGGGCTGGGGCCATCACGTATGGGGGGGTACGGCTGCTCCCCAAAGTCTTGGGACTGGGATGGTAGATCAATTGGGGAGGGGGGGTGTGAGTGTAGGAGAACCAGAAGGCCTTGGGCAATAGAGAAGGGGGAGGAGAGATCAAAGCACATTTTTGATCTGCCAGTTACTCATTTTCCTCACTCAAGTTCAAGAACTTGAGAGTGGGGGGTCACTTTGGTGTGGGGAACCAGTGTGTCATGAGACTTGAGAAGTTGCCGCTGGCCAATGAGGGTGCTCTTTACCTCTAAGCGGAGAGAACAATTGGGGGTTTCAACACAGAATCAAATCCAAGCCATAAGACAGGGGTGTAACTTGGGGGGGGGGGAGTCCACTGCAGAACTCCCCCTGTGGAGAGGAGCTATAGTTTAACCCGCTTTCAAAGCGTTCAGAATGGTGGCCACTTAGCATTTTTTCTAATGTTTCTATCAACATAATCCTTATCCACCTCTCAGCACAAATGCCCACAGCTTGAACGTGGGGGTGTCCGTTCCTAGGGATAGAAAGGCCCTTCTTTGTTTCTCTAAGGAGGATTGAGGGCCTGGAGTCTGTGGAAACCTTTAAAAAAAAAAAATCTTCCCCCAAATAGCTCAGCAGATTGACAAAACAATTAACACCCAGGCTGGGCCAAGCTGCCTAAACCCTTGGCTGCAGGGAGCTGAGCTGAGGCATAAGAGGCCATGCACCATAAACTTTCAATTCTTGCACATGGCTTTATTACTGGCTGGCTAACAAACTGCAACTGAGCCAACCTGTAAAAATGTGAACTTGGGCAGGGCCCCAAATCCAATTCCGGCTCCCTGAGGAAGCTTTATTGCTAACCAGACCTCCGCCAAATCTCCCCCCCCCCCCCCCACATTGTCCAAGTATTCTACTAGCCTCTGAGAGCCCTCTATGGTTTTTGAGCATTGTCATGTCAGCACTTTATCTTTCTTACTAAAGCGGGAACTATCAGATTCACAGCGACTTCTCTAGGCTCCAGGTTGTTGGGGAAAGCCGTGATGAGATTTTCAATTTCATGGTTGAGTTGGTGGAGCGCTTCCTGGTGACGTCAGGCATTGTAAACCTTTTGAGGAAACTCAACTTTCTCAGGTGTCTGGGTTTAGGGTTGTGAAAATGGTGGAATCAGGCCAGAAACATACCTGGTTCATGAAACAGTGGGCGAGTATGTAGGCTTACCTTGACTCTTTTCACAAATGTGACTGGTTCTTAAGGCAGGCTGACTGAAACGGGGTGCCCCCTTTATTTTAAGGTAGAACAAATTAATTGAGACTCCCCAAGCTGGATGTGGTGGTACCTATCTGTAATCCTAGCAATTTAGAAGTTGAGGATCTTTCAAACCCAAGGATTCAGGGTGATCTGGGCAACATAGAAAGACCTCTCTTAAAAAAAATGAACAAGCTGGGTGCTGGTGGCTCATCCCTGCAATCCTAGCTACTCAAGAAGCTGAGATCTGAGGATCAAGGTTTGAAGCCAGCCTGGATTGCAAAGTCCATGAAACTATTTCTTTACAATTAACCACCAAAAATGCCAAAAGTAGAACAGTAGCTCAGGTGGTAGAGTGTTAGCCTTGAGCAAAATAAAGCTAAAGGACAGTGTCTAGGCCTTGAGTTCAAGCCCCTAGTTCAACCCACACAAAACAAATAGGCCTGGGGATATGTAGCTCAGTGGTAGAGTAAGGTCCTGGATTTGATCCCAGCAATGTAAAAATAAGTTAAAATTGTAAAGAAAGAAACTCCACAACAAAAATGTTTGTCTTCAACAACAAACACATTTCCGTCTCCCTCTCCCCATTCCTAGTTACCCAAACAAAGGCTTCCCACTTTGGATCCAGCCAGGTGGAAAGGGTTACCTTTCAGGCACGTACAGAATCTTAAATGTGGCCAGGCAGGCAAGTTTCCATATTGCTAAGGAACAGTTGCCCCTGGGTTATGAATATTATGGGTGTCTATGAAGTTGAGCTAAAAAAAATGCTTTAATTAATGCCTTGTTTGTATGTGCATCTTTCCCTTCAAAGGCCTTCTACAACTCCAAGCTTGCTTTATCGTAACATTCCTTTGAAGCAGGCAAGGTAAATATTAAATACTTTGAGCTTTTAATCTCAGAGTTGGTACTTGAGAAATTCTATAGCCTAACCCTATCAGAGGTTTAAAAGATGGAGAGAGATATCAGAGGTTTGAAAGATGGAGAGACGGAGGCACAGCTTAATGGCTTCAGTTTGCTCACCTTGGACAGCTTGAGAACTCAAAAGAAGGGCTTCCAGACATAACTTTTACCTCTTGGTCTGTGCCTGGAGCCCAGCACTTAATAAGATGTCTATAGGTCTTTGCAAGAATCATAACAACCTTTCAAGTTGAGCCCATTTTGCAGAAGAAACCTAAGCGGTGTGGTTTTTCCAGCCATTGCTGTTATGCCCAGCTGAGATCTGAATGGTAGTTGCTGAGTTCTCTGGCTGAGATCTGAGAACCTCAATTCAAAGCCAGCCTGGCCACACAAATTTGAGAGGGACTCATCTCCAATTAACCAGCAAAAAGCCAGAAGTGGAAGTGTGGTTCCAGTAGAAGTGTGATGGCCTTGAGTGAAAAAGCTAAGCAAGAACATGAGGCCCTGAGTTCAAGTCTCAGCACTGGTACATGTTCTCTGCCTGTTACCACCACCCCCTTGCCAAGATAGAATGATGATTCCCTGAATAACAATACTTATGTGAGCTCTTAATGTTTGTTGTTGTTGTAAAATTTCCCAGAAGCATTTTTCTTTTCTTTCTTTCCTTCTTTCTTCCTTCCTTTCTTTCTTCCTTCCTTTCTTTCTTTCTGTTAGTTGTGGGACTTGAACTCTGGGCCTGGGCGCTGTCCTTCAGCTCAAGGTTAGCACTCTACCACTTGAGCCACAGTGCCACTTCCTTTTCTGAGTGGTTTATTGGAGATAAGAGTCTCGGGGACTTTCCTGCCCAGGCTGACTTTGAACCGTGATCCTCAGATCTCAGCCTCCAGTAGCTAGGATTACAGGCGTGAGCCACCAGCGCCCAGCTTCCAGAAGCATTTTTGTAGAGGGTACGAGCTTGGATGCAGTATAAGAGTCCTAGTATGAGCACTTGACTATATGGAGAGTGAGAGTCAAACGAAGAAGGAAATGGAGCAGCAATGTTTCTCTGACCTGTGCGTGTCACAGTCCTTCAGATTGGGTCTAGAAGCAAAGAGGAAAGGTGAGAGGAAGAAACTTGTTTGGTCTTGGTGCAGTAACTGGACATGTGGAACGTCCATTGATTTCCTGGCAGCTCTGTTGCGTCCCCGCTTCATGAAGGCCTAGCACATCCACCTTAGCCTCTGGGTTAGATTGAAAACTCATCCCCCCAAAAAACTTCAAAGTTCATTAGTAAACCCCAACTAAGCTTGAGTTAAGGTTAAGATGATTATGTTTATTTCATCTTTAAGCTGAAAACTGCCTTTTAGTGTGGAGCCTATGCTGTAACTCTACCCTTTGTTTATGTTTCATTCTCTCAGTAAACCTGTATTTAGCCTCTGTAGGTGCCAGGGTCTGCGGTAGAACTGCTGTGACCACAATGCATAAACAAAGTTCTTGCCCTTGAGTGGCTTCCAGTCTAACCTTGGGTACTTTGTATGCTAATGGCTGCCTTGCTAAGCTGCCAGAGCTAACTTCCCCTGGGCTGGAGAATGGAGTCCCTGGGGCCAGCAGCCTGAAGGCCAGACTTAAATCCTGGTTGGCTGCCTCCATGGTCCCGGGGGATTTCATGGTGCCCATACATGTGAATGTTGGGGAACTGAGCCAGAAGGGCAGCAGAGTTGGGCTGGTTTTCAAGACTCTGTCACCAGGGATTGTGTCTGGGGAGCAGGTCTCAAGCCTCCCATCTCCCCTCCCACCTTCTCGCCGGGCTCTGTGTTCCTAGGATACCCAGGCAGGTGTCCTTACCTCCCAGCCAGAAGGAAGGTCTTGCCTATGATGAGCAGGGCCAGAAACCAAAGCTCTGCCAAGTGTCTAGAGAGTGGTGGAAGAGAAGGGAGAGAAGGGCCTCCCCTGCTTGTACCAGTTGAGGCTCCTTTCCTGGGTTGAACAATCTCTGTGCAGAGACTTACTGTTCGGAAAGAGTATTACATTAAAGTGCCCAAACCTCTGGTCCTTGCTACTTAGAGATCTGAGAATCAAAGTCTGGAGTCAGCTGTGGCAGGAAAGTCCCTGAGACTATTATTTTTTCAGTTAACCAGCAAAAAACTGCAAGCAGAGGTGTGGCTCAAGTGGTTGAACAAAAAAAGCCTGGTGACAGCTGAAGGCCCTGAGTTCAAGCCCCAGGACTGGAAAAACAAGAACATGTCCAAGTGCTAA